TTTCAGGGGAGCCCATGTCTTATTAAGGGGAGCCGAGCTCCCCCTAGCTCCCCCGTAGTTTGCACCCTGCTCACAAGTACTCTTACAAACCCATATCATTACAAGAAATTCACCTAAGAAATTACATGTCTGTTTAGGATTTGTATCATGCAACTTGCAATACACAAGCCCATTGAATCCCACTGACGACATTTGAGAAAACTTTACTTTTGAGTTTGAAGATTGCAGAATGTTACTACACTACAATACACTGTTTATGTTCAGTTTATGGTCCAAAAGTAAGCAGGGCTCAAGGCAAAAATGCTGCTAAATGTGACAAAATGTCTTGTACTTAATGTGCAAATTAATTTTTTGTATATTACATTTGCTATGTATTTAATAAAATCTAGTAAGGTATGGATAGCATATTTAATTGGCCTATCTGATTCAGGTGAGCAAATTGTGATAACAGCGTGTGAATAATACAATGACTTTCAGGGAGTCGACTAATTTAAAGATATTTACATTTTTTTTAATGGAATTTTAACGTCTGTAGATTATCTTGTATATTCAACTTACCAGCCTTTCAAGTGTTTGCCATTTACGCCACTAGCACAGTTAGCATGTTAAATGTCAATTATCTCCAAAAAATAAATAAATAAATAAATAACTGAAGTTTCTAGTTGTGTAAATCTATAATAAAGTGATATCTCTGATAGCAGATGGCATGCTTTATCATCACACTCCCCGAAATGCAGTGAAAAACACATATGCAAGCCACACCAACACACAATAGCCTATACAAAAATGCCCCACCGCATTTTGTTATGTGTTGCATTAAATGTTCTCTTTAAAGTCAGTGGATTCTGATATGATTGGCTGGCAGTGTTTTTTTTTTTTTAATTGATCATCAGTTGGGAAAAAAACACTCCATATCGTTAATTAGTGTCGCTATCATTAGCTGCAATGTGGACTATATTCTCACAGAATTAGAACGTTAATTAAAGCGTTATAGTTATCCTTATAGTGTCTATTTGGCAAAGTGAAAAAAAAAATGAAATTATGTGTTTTGATTTGTAAATATGTTTCGAAATAATTAAATCTCTGAATGTCATGTTGAAATACATACAATTCATCAACCTTCTGTTCGATAGCTTTTGGGGTTTGAAGCTAATTCAATGGGGATCTGACACACCCACAAAAACCCAAACCACCTCCAACTCGCAGCCTGCAACTGGAATAGGCTATTTGACATAAATTTAATGACAAGCAGTGCTACGTTTTATTTATTCCTTATTTATTTATTTATGTATTTATTTATTTTTTAGAAAACCATGTATCCTCATAAAGAGGGGGGGGGGGGGGG